GCATATGCAATACGCCTAGGTGTGAACGAGACCTTAATGTCTGCAGCAATATACTAAAGGTAACCACTGAAATACTATAGTAGGGGCGCAAGGAGCACAGCAGGGGATAACGCCAAACAGGGATACCAGCTGGTAGAGGGAAGCCAAAGGCACAAGGATCCAATAGCAAGCGCAGGGAATTAGAACCCAGGGATAGTTAGAGCCACAAGGGGTACGGAACAAGGCATAAGAATTGTTGCCTTGGACACCCCATGTGCAACGTTGGCCACACGAGCACCACGGGAGGACAGGACGCCAGGACCTGTAATGTACTGGAATGTAAGCAGACCGACTCCCTGCGTTCACGTGCGGGAGGGGGTGTGGAGCTGTATTGAAGTCAATGGCATCGCCCACAGTGCAATCGCCCGCACTCAGAACGCAGGCACATTAGTGCCTGCATTCCGGTCCAGTGCGATCTGCAAAAATAGTGCTCGCAGCATTTTTGCGGATCGCACTGGACTGGAACACAGGCACTAATGCAGGCGATCGCACTGTGGTCGAGGGGCCTGCCTGCGCAGCCCACTCCCCCTCCCGCCCCTGAATGCAGGTGTTTTTTCGTTGGTAGATCTCAATGAGCTCGTCATTTGAAAAGTAGATCTCCAGATGAAAAATAGTGGGCGCCCCTGGCCTAGGCTGACAGCCCAGAACCAGGGAGCAAAGTGAAAATCTGGCATGGATTTCCGGATATTGTGACACATTGTATTGATTATTATACTGTGTATTATACATGTAATTATTTATTTCAATTAATTGTAATTATATATGTAAAAATACTTTCAAATGCAACTAGAGTAAGTACTTGAATTTGTCTTAGTCGGTAATCATTTATACAGCTACATTCAGATTGGGAGATGGGTCAACACTACAAACCAATCGGGCTATGTTACAGTACACATGTACTGACAGGGAACATGCTGGCAGAAGGAAGAGCTCATCAGTGGGCTTCTGCTCCTTCATTGTCCAATCAATAATATGGAAAGGAAGGGGGTGTTCTTAACCAAGCTTTGCTGTCACTACAGTGGAAGTTAAAGGAGAACTATGAGGTGAGTGAAAATCACTCATTCTCATAGTTCGAGCCAACGTTTGACAATGAAACTGTGACAATGAAACTGTTGCACGTCGGCTCAATAGATTGGGAAGTGAGCGAACACATACCGTCTCTCGCTCACTCCTTTATCATCTCCCTGCAGAGAGCAGTGACCGTCACTCACGGCTCCCTGCAGGGATTCCCCCCTCCCTGCTCCGATAGGAGATAGGCAGAGCCCGCTGTCACTCACGCAGCTGGGTGGATCTCGACAGCACTGTCGCATGGAAACATGTTCATCATCCTTGTCTGGTGATGCCACATAGCTGGATGACTCAGTGCAGAGCCCCACCCACCAAGAACAAAAGCTCTGCCTCCTTTCATTCAACAGTTCACCGTGGTACATTCAGTGGCCAGTGAAGTTTTCTGGGCTTTTCACTAGCAAGGGGGGAAAGCTTAGTTCAAGGGTTGATGGGACTTGAAGTCAAAGCCTGAGCTGCCGGGGCTTCACAGGCCCAAGAAAACAGGTTAAGAAACATACTTGTATTTTGACACTACTGACTAATCACCTAACAGGTGAACTTTAAAGCTAAATTTTTTAAACTGCTGAGTCCTCTATGCATGATAACGTTTAAAGGGTTATTGAACCCTTGCATGTTTTGCATATATCTACTGCTAGCAAGCAGTAGATATTTGCAAAAACATTTTTAAAAGGGTTTAAACTTACCTGTGTCTTCCCTGCGCGCTCCCGTCCGAACATCTGAAGAGTCTCGGGCGGCCGCAAGGGAATATTATTATTATACGGGATTTATATAGCGCCAGCAGTTTGCGCAGCGCTTTACAATATAAGTAAGACATTATATTTACAATACAATTCAAGACAAGTTGGTAAGGGATCTTGGGAGGGGGGCGGATGCGCACTTCAGATGTTCAGCCGGGAGACAAGGAGAGACACAAGGTAAGTCTATGGAGAAGCGTGCCCCGGCACAGACTCCATGGGACATCAGAGAAGAGGAGGACAGAGGAGTCAGCACTGGATCGGAGACCCGCACCAGCGCTGGCGGGACAGCTGAAAAGGATAGTAAAGAAGAAGATGATCGGATTAAGAGGCATCATTTAAGGTGAGTCCCTACAGCAGGACTGGGAAGGGGGGGAAAACTTTGACTTTAATGTCACTTTAAAAGTATGCACTATGATTGTGAAATTCCTTTAATTATCCCCCTCGTCGCCAAGGAACTCATGTTTTAACCTCCATGCAAACTAGATTGACCTTTTCAACACCAAACAGTTTCAAGTTACTAGCAGCCTCCCTGCTGTCACCTCATACAAATCCAAATGTTACCTGAAGCTTAACATACGTAGAGGATGAACTTTGTATCACCTCACCTGAGTGCATATCACCTAACCATACCACAGGTTTGTCCCCATTTTTAGTGCCCGGAGCTGACCTCTCACTCCTTCGTGTCAATCCCAACTTCACCTTGTAGCAGCACTACCGGCTTAAGTAATTTCATAGTTTCTGGTCAGAGGTTCAACCCTGAAGCATCGCATTTCATCTGATAATGTAATAACGTGGTATAAATAACATGGATTATGTAACTTCTCTCTGCCAATCATTTTCTTGATCCAGTAAGCCAATTACGTACCATTAATTTAAATGGAAACTAAGAAACAGCTATATATACGCCTCTGATATACATACAGTATATGGAAGCTGTTCAAGCTACAAATGATTTGTGTTTCTGTCTATCCAGTCCTGAGATATTTACAGCTCTACCACAGAGCAGAGCCACCTTGGAGACCTGACTTTCTCTACTGCATTTAAAGTGTATGTAAAGCCAAAGCTTTTTTTTTTTTTTCTTTTCAGTCAGATTTACCCTTTTGGTTTTTATTCTGGTGTCCAATGACAAACTTCATCTTTAGTATCAAGGCATATACAACCCAAAAATAAAAATTTTATATATGGTGCAGCTTGCCAATCCTTAGATGTGGTGTCTGCCTTTGTTTTATTTTTCTTCACTAGGGGACGCCTGTCAGTAATGCACTTTCTCTACTAGAGTGTCAATGCTCACTTACTGCACCATATCTACAGAGCAGTGGCAATGTCATCCTAAGACAGGCTATATAACACTTCCCCCTCAACCTGACTTTGTAATATGGGAGAGGGTGTTCTGTAGTTCACAGAAAATAACTGGGGAGACCTGATAGCAATGCTGATTAAAAGCATGCTGGATTTCTGGCAAGATCAACGGGTATTTTTATGTAGAAAATGTAGTGAGTCTGAAAAAAAGAAAACAAATGCAGGCACCACATCTAAAGACTGGTACGCTGCAATACACAACATTTTTGTGCTTTGTTCTGCAATTTGATACACTTTAGTTTTAGTTTGAACATCTACAACACTGTATGCCAAGACACTACTTTCAGTTCCAGTACAACATTTTAACATGTTCGGTATTTTAACCTCTAAATGACGAAGGTAAAGAGAAACCTTAAAGCCTGAACCCAGTTTTGCAAGTAAAGCTGGCCATACCCCTATAGATTATCTGCAGATTTTTTTATGGTGAGATGGAAAAAGTGCAACAGATTTCTCTATCTACGCTAAACTGTGTGGATGGAGGAATCTCCCACTGGGCCAAGCTTCAGTATCTTGCTAGTCGGCCCCGCTGGCTCTCAAAATACCTGATCAATGACTGCATCCAATCAGACTGTTCAGGTATTTTTAGAGCCAGCGGAGTCGAATAGCAAGATACTGATGCTTGTCCCAGTGGGAGATTCCTCCATCCACACAGTTTAGCGTAGATGGAGGAATCTGTTGCACTTTTTCCATTTGACTATAGAAAATCTGCAGATAATCTATAGGTGTATGGCCAGCTTTGGACATGAGTAGTTAAAACTGAAATATCTTTGTAGCCACGTAAATAACACCTTGCTTTTTTTTCAGGACAAATTGGACCTTAAATATTAATGGATATCTTGTGATTTTGTTTCATTTAAAAAAAAAAAAAAACATTTTTACAATTTTAGCTTTATATTTCTTGCCATTACCACAACATAAACCCCCCCACAAAAAAACAAAACATAAATTCTCCTACTCCACAGGTGCATGAGGATACCCCATATGTGTATAGTATTTGTTGTTTATATGCGTAGTAGGGCTCAGAAACAATAGTGTGCATTTTGCATTCATGGAATTCCTGATTATGTGATCATTGTGATTAACTGTCACAATGATCACATGATTGGCAGCCCATCCGACCAGCTCTAGATCATCACCCCATGACTGGACGCCGTTGGTGGCGGTGATGTCACAGTGCTCCACTGAGGACAAAGCGACAGAGTCTCTTTAAATAAGTGTAAGTTTGCAAGAGCAAAACCTCACTTCTGTGTCGTGGAGATTTATCACTATAAGTTGAAATTTTCCTTTAAGAACATTTTGTAAAACTGCAACATTAGAAAACTCTGTCATTGGAATAAAAATGCTGTCAGGTCTAAACTGCAGCCATCTAGGAGGTGCCTGGAGCAGCATTTGAATACATATTATGCCTGATTGGTGGGCTGTTCCACCAAAAAACTCCAAACACTTCATAGTAGTGAAGAAATTTGCACCCTCCGTCCTACACATTCCTATAGTCCTATTAGGATGATGGGTTGACTCACTGGTCAATAGGAACATGAGAGGGGGCAGGTAAGCTTTATCACGACCTAGAAGTATCAGAGATTTGGCTTTCAAAATGGCCCCACATTAGAGTAGAGGGCAAGTACTTTAAAGAAGTAGCAGGTAATAGTATGAGAGCATTAACTGGTCATAAAATAGGATCCTTCTAGAACTCCTCTCCAATTCTTTTTTTAAGCTCTCCTTTTAACATAAGAAAAAGCATGGATTCTGAAGTCTGATATTATGCAAAATTACAAATAAAACTAACTAAAATATCACCTCGACTTTTGGCAAATTCTGGTAGCGCCAGGCGATCTTCATACTGTCCCCTGCCAATCCAAGAGCCTCAGGTTCAACTTTCGGCTCAAGATCCACTTGTTTAGGTAGTTCACCTGTGAGAGGTGTTGGTAGGTCCTGGAAGAAAAGGATTGGAAAAAAATGGAATTATAAAATAAACACAAATAAATAGAAGAAAGATCACTGGTTGCCAAGAGCTAGGAGGGATGCAAGCCAGAGTGTCCTGCTCAGCTCCTGGCAACTGAGCGTCGCAGGTTGCTATTTTTCAAATACAAGGGCCTGTTGGATTTTTACTTTACCTTATAAATTATAAAAGAAAGCATGGGATCACCCTTTGTGTAGCATACGTGAGAACCTGAGGTGGGTAGGGATAGAGCTGAAAGAAATGACAAGGAGGTCATGCTGTTGAAGGTCCTCTAAAATACAGGAAGTCGGGGTGTAAAAGAGCCCACAAGGCTTCACCTATATCTAAAATGTTGGGCTAGGTAGGGCTGGCCCTTTAAACTGGAATAAAAGCTTTTTTTCACAAAACATGTAGAAAAAAAATCCATCTACTATTAAACCATTATATTGCCTATAATAAAGATGTACTATGACCTATAGCTTAAGCACAAACATCAGTATTGCTTGTCAAATAGAAAACCCCCTTTAATGAGCGCACATGAATCACTGTGTGATTAGTTAGCAACAGATGAAGTGTAATGATAAGGGTAAGCCCTTTGTATTTGTATTTTATAATTAAATGCTTGCATACTACTATGCAGTTATAAATGTCTCCCCTGAAAGCAAAACTATATTCAGACTCTCATTGTGATTAATATATAACCATTTTCATAAGCGAAGAGTAGAAATTTATGGTATTTAAGCTTTCAAAAATTACCCAAGCAGCAACAATCATAAAAGTGCCACCCATGCATTAGGAACATGCCGCAGAAGAATAGACTGTTAAAGTAATCTATTATTTTAAACAGCAAAACATGTTTTTTAATTATATCACAGTGTCAGACCATATGATGTGTTGCGTCTTCAGTTTCTGTTTCTTTTTAATATCCTAAAAAGTTAGCACATGGGGAATGAAATAACTTTGCTTCATTCAGGTGTGTTTCCTGTTTTCTGTGGTCTATAGATGGAGAAGACGAGTATCCAGTGAGTGTGAAATATTTGCTGGCCCCCACCAACATCCCTAATACTCTCCTGATAGGCTTTTACTGCCAGGGAAGACAATGTAAATCCATGTCCTGGTGCAGAAAAGTTTCAGGCAGCATAAAGTGAAAATTAATATTATAGCTCAGTATACTCAGAATCTGGGGATGCTCAGAGTGCACATTCAAACACCAATGGGAATATAGTCCATGCATGGGTAGAGGTCTAGTCAAAAATAGGCTTTGAGACATTTAGGCCCCATTCACACACGAATCGACCTGCACGTACAGCTCCGTGCTGCGTGCGGGGCCGTACCAAGCAGCTGACGGGAAGGACAGGTGCTGCGTGTGATTAGTACGCAGCCCGTCCTTCTCTATGGGGCTACGCAGCTTTACGTCCTCCCCACGCTGGCCCGCCCTGCACGTCCGTAGAGGTGCGGGTGAGCATACGCCGCCGGAATGGATCCTGTATGCGTCTCGGCCAGAAAACCCTGCACCCCTACGGACCTGCAGTTGAGGTGAGCGTAGGGGGGCGTACGGCCGTGTAGCCCCATAGAGAAGGATGGGTGCTGCGTACTGGTCACACGCAGCACCTGTCCTTTCCGGCAGCTGCTTGGTACGGCCCCGCACGCAGCACGGAGCTGTACGTGCAGGCCGATTCGTGTGTGAATGGGGCCTTAGCCATCTCCTAAATTGTTGGGCACTGCCTAGATCAGTTGTGATTTTCTATCGGATTTAACTTATAACATCAATACAACAAGCATGTCCAATACACTATTTCCTTTGTGCTTCAATGAAGAGGGAAAATGCGCCGCCCCCCCATCCCGCTGAAGCTCCGCCTCATCCTGATGAAGCTTCCAGCTCAGTAACCAAGTGTGGGGAGGAGGAAGGGAGGAGCCTCCCTGTCCCTCGCTTGCTTGTCACTGGTGAGGCATCGAGATTAATGTTCTCACTGTTTTTTTTTTTCTTCGTTTTTTTGATTGGACAGCTTGGACCAATGGCGCTTTGCCATTGGTCCAAGCCATTCACAGAGCTCACGCCTCTAACACAGAGTAGAGGCTGTGACAGCTCTTGCCTCCCCAAGTTAGGTTACACAAGCAGTGGGGAAGCCCGCTGCTGTGTAACCTAACTACCTGTCAAAAGCCGGATGCAGCGGTGCCTGTAATTAAGATGCAGCGCTCTGTCCATAACAGGTCACACAGCGGGGAGGCTTTCACTGCTGTGTAACCTGTAACAAGCCGATCTGAATGGAGAAAAAGCTGTCAGCTTCGGACTTGAAGATGACAGTTTTTTTCTCCATAATACTAGGTGAGGCTCTGCCCCACCTGCCTCCCCTGACCGCACGTCCCTTGTATAATCCTGTGGATTACCCACTTATTTATATTTAATTTGGGAGATTTAATTTTGGACTCTGCCTCACCTGCCTCCCTGCCCGCACGTCCCTGGTATAATCCTGTGGATTACCCACTTATTTATATTTAATTTGGGAGATTTGTTAAACGTCTAATATTGCAGATGCTTGTTTGAAATTCTTTTATGAATAATCTAAGACCCTTCATTGATAAACAATCTCTTGGGCAGTACTCAAAAGAGTACTGTCATAAAATACTGAGGATGAACGGTTATTATTATTATTATTATACAGGATTTATATAGTGCGAACAGTTTGTGCAGTGCTTTACAATATAAGGAAGACATTACATTCACAATACAATTCAATACTAGATAGTTAGGGCCCTGCCTGTGAGAGCTTACAATCAGTTTATAATGGGTTAGAGTTGATGAATTTTGTGACTTTTTAAATGTATTTTGATACATAATAAATACGATATATTATTATACTGGCTGTTCAGTAATTGGGTTATTTTATTTGTTTTGTTTTTTTAGATTTACACAATTCCCAAGCTAGCATGCTAGGGTGGTGCTATCCCAACCTGTGCAAGTGGAAAATGCATGTAATAAACATTATTTCTGCCAAATGGGTCCAGTGTATGCATTGTATATAAAGTTAAATGATATTGTGTGTGCAGCATTTGAAGTGTCTACCTATATATAATAGGAAAATAGAATGTGTATCATTTTAGTGTGTGTGTGTGTGTGTGGTGTATAAACCTCTTTTTTTTTTTGCACCTATTTAGTTTTTACATTTAATAGGAACAAACAACATTATTTGGCAAATTAAAACCGATCTTTAAACACCTTATTAATGTAATTAAGTAGTGTTCATTTATTAGCCCTGCGAATAACAAGACACGATTAGATGTCTACTTTCTTAGTCGTGTGTTTTAATTCTAACCTTGTCTTATAATTATCGTGCTTTCCTTTTAGCGCTTTAAGCAATGCAATTAGTCTGGAGGGAATGACAAAGAACGATAAAGTCTAGTTCTTCTGTAGTTTACCTTTACACACAGTGAACCTATTGTTCTGAAAACCAGGATTTAAAAAAATGTTTTATAATCTTGTGAAACAATCCCAAAATTAACAAAGGTTATTAAATTATCATCAGAAACTACTGCGGTCTATTACATATAGTCCTTGAAAACCCCCCAAGCACATTCTATTATGTAAAGCTCTACTTCTGCATAGTAAGAAACCCCCTCCTTACCCTCATGGACAACTCCATCCATAATGCCATATGTCAGCAAAGAGGAAACAGACCTAGGGACCACAAACTAGCAGAATGAGATGAGATATGGTAAAATACTTCAGCACTGTAAAATTACTAAAAGGTCTTACAGTGACACTAAACTCAGGAGTTAAATCTTGAAAATACATTCAAGTACCTTCACTATTAACAACAATGTATCTTATTTGTGTATCACTCAACTGTAGATCCTCAAAATCACCTCTGAATTGGTGCCGACACTGTCCTTCCTTCTGGAGGGGGGCTACTTTTGTTCCCTATGGTCCCTGTGTGTGTTGTAAAGTAGTCACCACTCCAAGCTCACACCCGGTCAGCAACATTCCCCTCCGGCGCATGCGCCAAGTCCCCTTTCGGAGAACTCTTACACGCATGCGCATAACGCGGACTTCCCATAGGAAAACGCGCAAAATGGTGCACCGGAAGTGACGCACATAACGCAGACTTCCCATAGGAAAACGCCCCAAATGCCGCACCGGAAGTGAAGCACTTAATCGTTCCACTTCCCTATTTAAACCCGGCCTATACATCCATGGATTGCTGGATTGTCTTCAGCCCCTCCCCGTGCTTCAGTATCCGGTGATTACCTGTCCCTGTGAACTGATTTTGATTTTGACCCGATACCTTGCCTCGACTATTCTTGCTCACTGCCTGCCAATGACCTTGGATTGATTACTGGACTTGTCTCTGCCTGATCCCTCTGTAGTGTCTACGTTCTCCTGGTTTGACCTCGGCTTGTTTTGACCCTGATTTCCAGATTACCCCAGCTCAGCCACAGAAGCAACCTTCTGCTTGCACGGTTTCAACACCACTGGCACCCGTGCCACTCGCTGTCTGCCAGGTCTCTGTCTCCACCTCCAGAGGCCTCAGGACACGAGGTGCAAGGGAAGCCTCCTCACACGGTCAGTCTCCCCATCAGGTACGTGATAATACCATGATGGACTACAATCTCAATACAAATCAGTAAACTAAACGTGAAATTGTAGTCCATCGCAGGAGTGAGCTTGGAGTGGTGGCTAGGTTACACACACAGGGACCATGGGGAACAAAAGTCACCACCCTCCAGGAGGAAGGACAATGTCAGCACCAATTCAGAGATGATTTGAGGATCTACAGCTGAGTGATACACAAATAAGATACATTTTTGTTAATAGTTAAGCTACTTGAATGCACTTTTAGGATTGTCACTTTAATTTTCTGGTACAGCATTTCACTCCAGATAGTCACACAATAGACTCCTATTGTCTCTTCCCTCTGCTTCAGGGAATGTATCTCCAAGAGCTCCTTGTTCAACATTTGGTGGGAATGTCTTAAGGTACAGAAACTATGGATCT